CCCATTTCCTTTTGCTCCTGTGCAACTGCTCCACATTGGAAGTTTTATATAATTTGCTAACTTCCCTGTATTCTTTCCTTTCCAATTATATCCCTCCCAGAGAAACTCTTATATTTTAGTTTTCTTTCAATACATGCCATCTATAAAATAGAGGCACTAAAGTAGTGCTAGAAGAAGCATCAAGGAAGAGATGGAATAATTATATTTACATAGTAAGAAGTGTATTTTAGGGACTCAGTAGAACTGAGCCACCTCAGAAAAAGCTTCATAGTCTTTCTGGGACAAAGTATTCATCCTTATCAGGTATATGTAAGAAACCTTTAGAGCTTACAATACACTTAACAGCGCTGAGGCTCTACTTTATAGCCATACTATACCAAGGATGCTTCCAATGCACAAAATGTTCTTGATACTCTAGAGGAGCATGACAAGGAAGAAATAAGAGCGTCTTGCCATGTAAGATCTGACTAGTCTGCAAAAACATAGGTTAAAATGTCATGTCAGGGTAAGAAATCCTGTTAAGGATGTTAATCAACCAGGGATCCCTGCCTTGAAAAGAGAACAGTTTTGGGCTAGTTCCAAGGGGATTGTATGCACTTAACAAAATTGCTGACATCTATAATCCATGTTGTGTAGGCAATGCTTGCTTCTAGCAGTGATACAATGTTTATCTATTGATATGACAAAGACACAAGGAGAACACTATATGCTGGAATATGCACTTCTATTTTGCCTGTAGTCATTTTTTATTTGATTTTTTTTAATAGAAAAGGTGACTTGCCCACTGCATATTGAATTTTTTTCCTTCTCTGCTGGTATTTCAACTTGATAACATACATAGAATAGGATAGAGAGTTCAAGATCAGAGAAACCAACACTTACTATCCTTGGTATTAAAAGTCCTACTGACTTGTAATTACTACCTGAACAAGAAATCCCTTCCATTTGCTTTGCTGCTATGACTATAGCAGCTATTAAATTGGCAGCCAACACAGTGCCATTTCTCCCCCAACCTTCTGGCAGAACAGTTGCCACAATATACTTCAAGACGTACAGCTGCCAGTCATGCTGCTCCTGGATCAGTTCAGGACTGTGCCTGAACCCTTCTAATTGCCCCTTTGCCACTGAACTGTCAAGATGTCCTCAGACAGAAATGAGAATGGTGCTAGAAAACTCACCCTACAGACTGTATGGGACAGTGGTGATAACCATTTTAAAATCCTTGTGGCAAAAGCAGTTTAAACCACTGAAAAAGTTCTGCTTGCCCTTTTTTTTGTTTGCTTGGTTGGGTTTTTTTCATAATCCTCCTATTTCTAAGGTTCTTGTCTGTCTACTTGATACTTATTTCAACAGAGCTTTTCAGACACATTACTATTCAAGTATAGGCTTTAGGTAACTGAAAAAAATTTGTATCTTTACTGCACTTCGCCTAAAGGTTAATCAGAAGTCACTCTCACAACAAATACACCAAGATGATGCATTTTCAGGTAGCTTGTTTAATGTGAACCAAGTACCATAGCACTGAGTCAAGACACACAGAGAGTAAAGCAACAAGTGCTGAATGGGACTATACAAAAGAGTAGGCAGCTTCTGAAGTGTATGTTAAGTGAAAACTGAATAGGAAAAGCTTCATGCTACAAATGACACTGAAGAACTATCAAAACTTCCTTACCTGGGCTTTAATGATATCTTCAGAGAAAAGAACTCTCTTTTAAAAAACTCCAGTAAACAAAAAAATACTCTCTTCTATCTCACCCAGAGGCAAGCAAGATTCAAAGAAAATGTTAACAGAGGTGAAAGAACTTTTACATGAAGATAACTGTGGCAGGGAAATTGGAAGAGTTAAAACCCAGATAAGAGAAAAAGATTACCCTGCAGTATAAACGGGCCTACAGTACATTCTGTTACATGAAAGAAGTCATCACTTCTCAGCCACAACAAAATTTTGGGTAATTTCAAGGCATGTAAGCTACAGATATATTTAACTGAAAGAGTTATGAATATGTTTATACAGACTCAAATGTCCCATTACTGTTTGTAATTCACTTTCGCTAGGGATGAAAAATCATTTCCTTCTGTATTTCTTGTTCTTTCAACAACTTATCATCATTCTTTTCCTTCTTTTCTGTTGAGCAATACTTTTATTAAAAGGACACATTATAGAATCAATATGCTATATATTTTCATTTATATACCAATTTGATACACATGAATATACATGTAATGTATGTAATACAAGATACTAAACTGTTAACTCTATTTGTATTAGAAGGCACATTTCCTTTGAACTCTGTTTAAGGAAAATGATATGATGTGTTCCAGAAAACCACTCTTATTAGTCTTCAATATTATTGCCTGTTATCTACCAGTCTGACACCATACAACACACAAGAACAAAGGTAGCTTCTCAGACTAGACATGTGGCAAAAAGAGAGCCTGGATTTAAAAGGTGGTGTTTTATCTGAAAAGTGATGTACATCCTGGCCATATGCCAGAAGTGAAGAGAGACAAAAATGAGATTGGACTCTGGACTGTGCTGAAAAGCCATTCATCCACCAAAGTAGTAAAACCAGAGAAGGACAAATATACATGCATTACAAAGAGTAAGGTTACATGCAGTAAGTATATAAGAAAGCACGTAATGTATATATTTAACAAATATATTTTTCAAAGTAAGAATTCCAGAAATTTAAATAAGTTGCAAGTGTAAAAGAAGCATTTAAATACTCATTATAGTCACAGCCCAATTATGAGTTAACAAGTTAATATGTTAACAAGTCCCCATCAATGAATTTGGAAACTAGGTCCTTCAATGCTTTATTGGCATATCTGAAGCATAAGCTCTGGAGAACAGATTTGTTCATATGGAAAAAAACAAACAAGCATCCAAAGTTAATTACAGAGCAAACACATAGTCTTGATGTTCTTAAAACAAAACAGAAAAACCTCACCATCTAACAATAAAACACCATTATAAAATAACACCAGTGTTTTTAATGCAAGAGTCTGGGAACCTCTGTGTTTTCTAACTAACAATTTTTTTAAGAATTTAATATTTTATCAGTTTGTCTGAATGCACACAGGTTCCTTACGCTTATATTAGACTATAAATCTAGATTAGGGAGCTCATTTAAATGGTTTGTAAGTAGCTATAGAGGTAAAGCAGCTATTTCTTAGAGAATGTGGTTTTACAAAGTTAAATACAAGAAGTACTTTACTCTTGCAGGCAACTTTATCCTGTCAAACAAAAGGTAATAGCCAAGACCAATCAGAACAGATGAAGAGAAAACAAGGAAAAATTTCAAAGCCCCCAACAGATCACAAAAATATTTCTATTATAAAATGGAATGATAGTACCTTTAAAAATATCATCGCATGCTGTGGTCTTCTCTTGTTTAGGTGTACAAGGCTATAACACTATTGCTGCTACAGTTAACCCCTTCTTGACAGTGACTAGTAACTATGTCAGATGGGAGATTACAGTTTTTAAAACCAAAATAGCATAGTTAGTCTGGAAAATTTATTAGTTATTTTCTAAAAACCACCTACACATCAGATAGAACCTGCTGGCTCTCCTTGGGATCTGTGAGCTTCTTTATTTGAAGGAGATGCAAACAACTTTTTCCAGCACAGATTGAAGGCTACTCTGGTCATCACGGAGAAGCAAAATGCTTGTGGGGAGAAGCAGTTTAGCTGTAAAGCCTTCCTCTTTCAGAATTCAGCTTCCACTGTCAGGGAAATCACTGATGCCCTGAGCATTAATGGACTTTGTCTCATTCCTACAGCACGATCGGCCAGCATGCAACTGCTTCACTGGTTGCTAAGGAGCAGCGAGCTCACTACACAGCATCATCCGCACCCTCCACAAGGACACTGGCACATGCTTCCCATCTGGGGATACTCCTGACTGAAGTAACGGCACTGGAGTGCCTGCCAGTCTTCAGTCTCCCAGGGTCAAGTACGCCAATACAGCAGGTGCTAACTGTAGCTCTACCTTCAAGGTTTTAGGCTCTAGTCTTCGTGAGCCTGGCCAACACAATGCAACACACAAAGAGGCCAGAACAGCCTTCCACAGTTATTGGCATGGATACTCCTTATTTTTAAAGGCCAAATCTAGACAAAGATGTTCTTCCCGAAATTTTGGCAGACACATGGCTTTTCTGACTAGGGCAATGACTGCCACTATTCTAAAGTCTGTGTTACAGGAGGATTCAGTAAAAATGGAAAAAGGCTGAAAAAGAAATATCTTCTTTTCAGTCATTAAGGAGCACAAGATTTGGAGGCATTTACAGAAGACATACAGAAACCTAGTGATCTCCAAGCTGTACACATTAAATCCCTGGAACCGATGTCAGCTGTGAACAATTTGGGTCACTTCAAAGTCTAAACATGCAACCTCAATGCATTTTTTCAGCTGTTTGTCTCATTAGCACTTCACAGATCTATTCACAATAAAAGCGGGGGAAAAAAAAAAATCTGTCCAGAAATAAAAAAGCCATGCCGCTTCCATATGCCAGGATATTTATTAACTATTAACATTACACAGAGATGGTATCTACTAATTTTCAAATACCTGTCATAGGACAAACGCCATCCAAGGATTCTTAGTGCTGGTGAATTAAAAAGCACATAAGGGAACACAGCTGTAGATATGCATAGATATCTACACATTCAAATCCTTACGCAGCTTCAAAACGTTTTGTTTTTTTTAATTGCATAAAGAAACACAAAAAGGAATGAGAAGGCAGGCAAACTGGGTGATTCATTCATCAAATACATGGAACAATAGCTCTATTTGAAGGGGATAGGTAAAAGCAAAAAGTGTCAACTTTCCTTCTTACCTGAAGTTAAGATTAAATTCTTAAGAATTTAAGAAGATCAAGACACAAAAATGCTCACCACTAATATATGAAATAATGTCATGGACACTCATGTATCAGTTAAATGCACTTTAAAATAACTGATTAGTTTGAAACACAAATGTGTACCTAGGTCCTTACCTGTCTCAACAATTTCTCAACAGCTGACATTACCATGAGCCCTCTCCACACAACTGGGGCAGTCTCTTCTATCAAGAAACCCATAGACATGCTGAAACAACAAAGCAAAAACATCAGCTTTCCAGCACAATATCAAGTACATCTGTAAAGAAGCTTGATTTAAATTAAAACATATGCTCACCATGCGATTCCATAGTTCTTAAGGGGCCTCATTAGATTTTCTAAAACAGAAGCAAACAAGGGTTTTTTTGGGGAGGGAGTTGGTTTTGGGTTTTGTTTTTATTTTTTAAAGAAATAAGCTTACCCAATTTTTTTCCATTTAAGAGCAGCCTTCCCCTCTCTATTAAAAGCATTTGCCTATTTTTCCCCCCTCATCCCTTCAATATATGTATACATGTATCCATTCTACCCAAGAACCTGGCCCCACTTTTTCTTAGGTTGTTACATTTTATTGATACCATTCATCTTTTGCCAGAATAACAACGCATTTGCCCATATGTCACTTTGTGCTGCCAAAACCAACTTCATCTATTTGTACGAAATCCCCATGCTGCGAGGCATAAATCCCTATTATTAGGCAGCCTTCTATTTCTGCAATACTTCACTAAATGCTGAGTCATTTATATCAGAACAAAATCAAAGTCCTACAACTTTGGTGGATTTTAATTTTATTGACAAAACAAATTAATTTTTTTTTTTTTTTAACTAAACTATTCACTTATCTCACATATCAGAAGATCGTTCCCATTAACACACAAGTATTTTGGGGCAATTCTTCTCCTTGTATCAGTCTGCTTTGGAATCCCAGAGAAGAGGTGCCAAATAAAGCCACCCCTAAACTACATGCTCTCAACAGCTCCAGGTCAGAAGTACCGGATTTCTTCAGACTGGCAGAAATCTGCAGGACTTCTAAAATTTCTTTAGGAACAAAAGATGCTTATGTGAACATTGCAGAGGTAATGTCCTTGTCATGCTCCATATTCCTATGCTTTCCAATGTCAAGACAAAAAAAAAGGGGAGAATATTGTAATTGTTCTGCCCACAACAGGGCAAGCAAGCAGAAAGTAAACAAAACAAAAAGAGCGTATTCAAAACAAAACCTTGCAAAAGCCAGAAGTTCCTCTTTATAGTCTCTGCCATCTAAATCCACACCTTACCTCAAAATGGCGAACACACACACACAAAAGAACAACAGGAATTTTATTTGGACTAGCTGGTTTATTTTAAGAGCATGCACAGGAACCAGTAGAAAATAGAAAGAATCACCTTAAGCAATAAAAAAATATTTTATAATACATATTTTGACGGAAAACTTTGATGCACTCAAACTAAAATATATATAGATAGTAAAATAAAAACAAGGAATATAATGCAGTGCATTCAAAACTGAACTCCAAATTCAGGCAAAGTAACACCCAAAAGCATGCAAATTCAACAGCTAAACACTACAGATGAAAGCTTTCAAGCAATCAAGTAAGTGGGCATTCAAGCCATGTAATTTTGTAGAAATATGGCTGCAAATAAATTGGATGTTTTCGTTTACAAATCAAAAAGAACAAAATAGGAAGGTAAACAAATCACTTGCATGACTACTGTTATTCAGGAATGAGCATGGAACTGCTACTGGAAAAAAGATGGGCATGGACTGAGGCACTGCATCAGCGTAATACAACTCCCCTCTATTTGCGCAGCTCTTCTCAGTGTTCAGTCAGGGCTTATTTTGGTGGCGTTACACCATCTAACCGCATTTCTAGGAATCGTAGTCTGTCTTCTGCTCCCTGCAGTAAAATAGTTTTGTTAAGAAGAGGTTGGTGACATTTGAACTTCAGCCTAGAGCCATCTCTAGGCACTGCTTTGGTGTCCTTGTAAACAACATACGTACTACCACAAGTTATAACAGTTCCAAGTCTTGAGAAAAATGACTATATATTTACCTATGAGAGGGCTTTAAAAAAAAAAGAAACAGAAAAAAAAACCCTATCTGCAACAGCACATTTCAGTGCAGGTTCAAGGTCATCTTTATTTTTACCATGAAATAGGAATGATTTTAAGGAAGAAAAAAAAAAAAAGAAAACAAAAAGGGGAGGCAAATCCTTGATCACTCAGCACATGAGGACCAGGAACTGGAGGGTAAGAAGAATGGAAAAGATGCATTTACTGTGAGGAAATTCCCCAAAATACTATGCCACTTCTCAGTTCAATCCAAGTGCCCTACAGTATGTCAGTCAAATATCCAGAGGCTAACATCTCAACATCCACTACCTCCACGGATGGTTTCTTCTGTATAGAGCCCTGTAAGACATGTTAATGTCACAGAACAGACACACCTTCAGAGATCTCCCTCTCCTTCACTTCAGTGGGTACAATAGGAGAGTTGCTGTAAGTGCACAAACACTGACCTACAGAGTAGCCAAAGGGGCCTCTCTGTTGTTGGAACATGTGCACTGTTTATTTCTCAACGGCAGAGTTTCATTTTATGAAAACTGGATCTTAGTTTCCTTGGTTAACAACAAGGACTATAAACTGCTCCAAGCAGCAGGATTTAATCAAATTTATACAATGCACAAGAACAATGCACAACCTGCTGTATATTCTGGCTATAATGTTCTGCATATTCTCAAAGTAATACAAAATACTGCAGAGCACCCCACTGTTTGCCTACTGCTAGAAAGCATTCTAAAGACTATCTCAAATCTAAAGTGCTTCAGCAGGCTCTGGTAATCACCCTTGCCTCATCAAAAGCAACAGGCATTCCTCCTCCTTCACCCTGGGTCTCATGAAGATTTTCTAAAACATAACACATGTAAAGAAGATTTAGCTTAATGAGATCTCAAGTAACATCTCTAATTCCCATTGCTTTCAGAGTAAACACTTCTTTCTCTGTCATCAGATGCCTACCATACAGCTCCAAAAATACATCACACAACAAAACAGATTTCTTAAAATCACAATACACAGTGGTACTATGCCACCTATGTTAAGAGATCAATAAAATATCCTTGTTTACAACCTTTCAGTACACTTGATGGCCCTAAATAAATGGGTGCCGTGTTTTCTCTGAAAATCCAAAATCAGATCAGTAAGATCAACAGAGTGCCAATGAAATGTCAATAAATGCATTTTCTGGTAGGACAAGTAGGGCACTGGAAAAGGCAGACACATACAAATTCATCACAGCATTACAGCATATCACTGATTAAAAGAGTTCTAGGACTGGTCTGAAGGCTAGACTGTAACTCATGTGGGGAAGAATGTTGTTCAAGTCATTAGGATAGATCTTCTGCATTTTGTCTTGTCTTTTTTTTTTTTATTTTTTTTTTTCCCCAGAAAAATCAAGCCTTGCAGACTATCCTGACAAGGTAACTGAGTTACTCCATTCTTTTTCTCTAGAAAGCCCAACATAAACGTTCAATGGTAGCTATAGATTAGTGCAGCACAGAAAGTATGTACAGAGCAATATATATCATTTTGGCTGGGATAGAGTTAACTTTCTTTGTAGCAGCTTGCATGGTGCTATGTTTTGGATTTGTGATGAAAACAGTGTTGGTAACATACATATTTTAGTTATTGCTGAGAAGTGCTTGCACAGTGTCAAGACCTTCTCTGCTTCTCATGCTGCCCCACCAGCGAGTAGGCTGGGGATGCACAAGAAGTTGGGAGGGGACACAGCTGGGACAGCTGACCCCAACTGACCAAAGGGATATTGCATACCATATGCCATTATGCTCAGCAATAAAATCTGGGGGAAGAAAAAGGAAGGGAGGGGACACATTCAGAGTTATGGTGTTTGTCTTCCCAATTAACCACCCTGTGTTATGGAGCTCTGCTTCCCTGGAGATGGCTGAACACCTGCCTGCTGATAGGAAGTAGGGAATGAATTCCTTGCTTTGCTTTGCTTGTGTGCACAGCTTTCATTTTCCCTATTAAACTGTCTTTATCTCAACCCAAGAGTTTTTGTGCTTTTACTCTCCCGATTCTCTCCCCAACCCACTGCGGGGGAGTGAGCGAGCAGCTATGTGGTGCTCAGTTGCCCACCAGGGTTAAGCCACAAGGAGGCATTTCAATTCTTGGTTTAGTTTTCAGAAGAGGTCTGCTGACATGTAAGAGCAAGCAAAGGCTTACAATCAGTCTTACCAGGTAAAGATCATTATTCCAGAACACTGTGATGTTATAGTACACCTCCTTAGGAGGCATCAAGCTGTGTAAGAAAAGCAAGGGTAGCTTATAATTACTAAATATGAGTATAGTGGACCATGCAACACCCTAGCAAACTAGTTGGAGCTCACTAACTGAGCGAGCACTAATGCAGTGGAGTTGCTCACAGTTTTCAAGTGTCTGAAATAATGGGTAAGTTGTGGGGTTTTTACCATTTCAAAGGTAAAACAAAAATCCAAACAAGAGAACACCAGAAGCTCAGATTTTCCTCCTTGTTAAAAATTTCCTACTGCACTTGGCTATTTTTGGAACTTGCCACTACAATGGAAGATCAGAAACTTCCTAGAATGATAACTGATTATATAACTTAATGTTTGTCTTCAAAAAATCTTTGTAGTGGAAGTCACCTATCTGTTCTAACTGGATTTTGGTCATTAGGCAGGAAAGTGGTGCTTTTAAGTTGTTATAAGATGGGACATCTATAGGTAAATCTATTAAAAAGTAGAACAATTGTATGATTTTCCAGTTAAGAACATCCTACTGACCTCTGCATGCAGATTACCAAATGTTTCCAAAGACACTACCAGCACAGACACCACTGCAAGCTCCACCACAGCTATGCTCTGAATGCATCTGTTTCCTGACTCTTAATTTTTATACAAGCCCCGTTTCTATAACACCCATGCACCCAAGATGAACGTTTTTACCTAACAACATGCTTCTGAGCTGGGGAATTTCCTCATGTTACAGATGAGGAAATCAAGACCTGGACTGTGAAACTTGACCTAGGTTATTCAAGAATCCTGTGGATTTGGAGACCTATGCTGTGTTACCCCAAGGTCTGATGATCTAACAGAGCCATGGCTACACTTACAGCACTTACAATGTTGGAAAGCATGTAATGCCTTTTTTTTTTTTTCATCCTAGATAAACATCTAGGAGATCTAAACAGTATAGGTGCATTTCTAAGTTGCGTATTTTCCCTTGAAATTCCTAAATATAGCTGAAAGAATTAAAATTTTAAAAAGCAAACTGAGGTACAAACAGTGTATAGCAGAAGAAGCTG